CAGGAATGACACCACCCACAGATCACTAAGAAAATGCCCCACAGGCTTGTCTTCAGCCTAATCTTATGGAGGCAATTTCTCAATTGAGGATCTCTCCCCTCAGCTGACTATAGTTTGCATCAACTTGACCAAAAACTAGCCAGCACAGGGTCCTTATCTCCTTTCAGCTAAAAAAAACAAAACAAAACTGGAATTTAGAAATTAAGAGTGTAGAAATGAAGGTCTGAGTGTAGAAATGAGGTTTAGGAACATGCTGTGGGGAGCACTGGATCTGAACCCAGGCTTTTGTTCTGCATAGGGGCTGCACATCTGTGGCTCCTTTACCTGCAGTGCCATCTGAGGTGGGTGGCGGTAGGCTCATCTCCACTTCACAGGCAGACAAATGGAGGCTCAGCAAGTCTAGACCACCTGAACCTTTAGGAAAGAACAAGAGAGCAAGTTCAGTTTTGCTGGGGAGGAAGCACCATGCCACCAAGGGAGGGCTCACTCACTTCGAAAAGCTTGGAGCCTCTGGCTCCTTTATCTCAGGTTCCAAATGGTTTCCAGGGTGGCCCCTCCTCTCGGGGCTGGGTGCCAGGCAGGCCATCTGCTTCTGGGGCTGGCTGCCCCTCCCACAGCCACTGCCTTCTCCCTGAACGCCTGGCTCCTGTCTGGCTGCAGCCGTGGGGATGTTCCAAGGAAAAGATCTGTGCAGCCTCTTCTGCAACCTAAATTTTGTTGCTGTGGGTCCTGCCTTGTCTGCACAAACAGCTCTGCTGGTGCTCAGCTCCTGTCCTTTGTTGAGGATGTGGGATGCCAGGGGAGGAAAGAAGGCACCGGACAGCTTCCCTTGGCACCTGTTCAGGGCTTGGCTGCACCAGCTCCCTGACAGGCATTCTCCTGTCTCCTGGCCCCATGATGCACAGTAGCCCTGAGAGCTTAGCATGGAAGTCATATCAGGTCACCACCCTGCTTGGTATCCTCTTCCTTAGAGAAACTTCCCAGCTCCCCCATGTTGCCCACGCCTTAGAAACCCTCCTCTCCATCACCACCACCAAGCAATGCCTGGCTCCTGCTGGGCCTTCTTCCTATGCCTAGATTTGGTGCTCCTGTGCCTTAAATGGGGAGCTCTCATCAGCCCGGGCTTTGCTCCTCAGATACTCTGTCCAGGCCCTTCCTTCCGTCATGTCTAAGTAGGACTCTCCTGCCCGCTCCCTCCTTGTGTTCAGCTGTGTGTCTCCTCTTACTGAGCATCCTTCCTGCTTGACTAGGAGCCGTGTGCAGGCAGGGGCAACATTGTGCACACATCTCAGAGTCCCCATAGTCTGGCCCTAACAAGCTCGAAGCCATACTTCTGGGCCTTATCAGGTACCACGGTGACCTCTACCTTGTGAAGCAAGAACCTCTTCATTTCTCTGTCCATGATAACCGTCAAGGTAGTCAGTGGGCTTTCCTGGGGGGGGGGGGCATGAGTGACTACCAGCAACCAAATCAAATGTGACCTTTCTTGGGGAGATGTGAACAGACATGTAAATAGAGTGCCTGCAAGAGACGGAGTCCAGCTTGGTGAGCCAGTGAGGAGTTAAAGGCGTGTAGGGGACCTTAAAACAAGTGTATCACCAAAAAGTCTCATCCTGATGAGTGACAACCTCATGGATGCCGAATACAGAATTCCCTTTCTGGGAGCCATGCGCTGAACTCGGGCATGTCCAGAGGCCACATGTCTGGAGCAGAGCTATATGCAGCTGTGGGGCCATAGCAGGAAGTTTCTAGGCTCTGGGGTGAGGGCAGGTATTGGCAGCTACTCTGATTTCAACACTGCAGCAGCCACGTGGGCCCAGAGGGCATTGCCCTACAACACTGGACTCTCCCTTGCCACCCTTCCACCCTCCAGGATGACAGTGACTGCATTTCTCAGCTTCTCAACCTCTGTCACAGATTCCTTCAAGCAGAAGTTTAACTCCAGTGTTCTGTGAAACCCCAAAGAAGCAGCTTCTAAGCGGCAGCAGCTTCCAGGGGTGAACATGAATGCACCACTGGCAATCCAGGAGCTAGGGGCTGGCCTATGGATGGTCATACAAAAACCCTTCTTTTCAAACGATCATGCAAATAGCAGAACCATGGGACAGAGGCATATAACCACTGGGCTGAGTGGGGCACACAGGGAGATGGGGGCAACATCAGGTATGTATGTGAAGGGACAGTACCATGAAAAGGGCAGATGGCAGGGGCCACAGATGCAGCCACAGGCTGGCTTTGGGGCTTCTGGCAGGTCCTGCTTTATCCTGCATTCTAAACCTGAGACTACCATGACAGTGGGATCCGGGCCAGGTAAGCCGGAGGAGTCCTTTTACTAGATGTCAGGTTGCCTACTCCTCCGTTGCCTTGGGCACTGACATCTCAGTTGAGAAGATGACAGACAGGGCCTCTGTAGTGACAAATGGTGGGGATACGTGCTGGAGGGGCCTCGTGAGTCAGAAAGCTCGGGTGGAGGTGGCGAGGTGAAGACAGGGAGGCAAGCAGGAGGTTCGCTCAGCAGGTGCAGCCGTGCAGGTGGGAACGCACACTGAAAGAGTGCACTCAGCCAGCTCAAACCTGGTGTGAAGAGGGAACGGTGGGTTGTCTTCTGAACTGAGTGTCCAGGGACATCCATTAAGAGCTGATCTCCAGCCACAGAGAGGGTATTTATACCAAGGAGATGGTCAGACATGAGGCTACCACAGCTAAGCATCTGATAGCATGCCCTGACTGGCGTATCTGGGAACCAGGAAGAAAGCTAAATAAAGGTCTCTAATCAGTAAAGGAAGGGAAGAAGGTCATGATGTTTCTTCTCAAAAGAACTTTAAGCAGGGCAACCTGACATAATTTTGCTTAGCCAGGCAGACTTGGACTCAGTGAATACTAATGTGCAGGTGTGTGTGTGTGTGTGTGTGTGTGTGTGTGTGTGTGTGTGTATGTGTGTGTGTGTGAATGCACATGGTGTGCTGACTTGACAAAATGGGGTCGATGTCAGATCTGAAACCCAAAGCTATGGAATGCCCATTTCCTGTAACAGTAAGGCTGAGCATGCCCACTGGGTTAGTCTGAGCATGCCCACTGGGACTCAGGTAAAACTTCGGTGGAGCTGGCAAGTGCAGAGAACTCATTGACTTGCTCCCATTATGGGCAACCATGCAGTCAGTTTCTTTCCAAGAGGCGACAGCAGCAAGCTCCTGGAGGCTCCATGCCTTTGTGGACTGAATCCATAGCTCACCCAGCATGCACTCTGAGAATGCTGTGACTTACAAGTGGCTTCTCAGAGGAGTCTTATGGAGCCTCTGGGCAACGGGTTGACCAGAGCAGCTGCTTCTCAGTCTTGGCTGTGTGTGAGCTACAAGGAGCCTCTCCAGCTCCAGACCAATCAGACCCATGGTCTCTGGAGAGGGATTTACACACCTGTGGTTTTAGATGCTCCCCAGTGACCCTCAGTTAGGGCTGAGGTTGGACATGGCTGGGGTGAAAGGAAATTACACAGAACAAATGTCTAAGCCTCTATCATGTATTGATCAGGGAGTGGATACTATCAGGGTGTCAAGCTGGGCATGACAGTGGTGCCCTTACTGTTCTTTCTGACCCCAGATGACCCCCCCAGGTCTCCCACTGTGGCCCATAGCTGTACTAAGGAGACAAAACATTTGCAAAATCCAGCCTGGCCGCTTCTCTGTTAGTAACCATGGGCTGAGTCATCACAAGAAGCCCATGGTCCCAAGAATAGGCACCCCTGGGCCAGCCCTTGGGAAGTAAAATCCTTGTGAAGATGAGGGATGTTGGGGTCCCAGGCGGACTCCACAGCAGCTGAGAACAATATGGAATACACCTCTCTGCTGATCCCAGGAATGTAAGCAGGCAGGTGTCTCTGTCTGCTGACGTCCATCTGCTTGCATAACCGTGGAGCACACAGGTCGGGGAAGCAGGTCTCTTGTCCTTAGGCAGGGGCAGGAAATACATATGCTAGAGGTGATTTTGCTTAAAGATGAAAATATAAAGCAGCGTGAAACAGACCTGCATCACTGGCAGCCTGCATCACTGGCAGCCTGCATCACTGGCAGCCTGCATGGCTGGGCTGGGAGAGATTATGGAAAGAACACAGCCTTTGAGTGGGTTGGTTGCTTCCCCAGCCTGTGTGTAGGGGCTGGCCTGGGGTGCAAGGTTGGGGTAGCTCTGAGGTCCATGCCTTAGAGTTAAGCTCAGACGGCAGAGAAGCCAGGAAGCAAACACATGGCCAGTGCTGCCACACCCTTTGGTGAAGGATGGGATCTGGCCTGGGCACAGGAGCCTGGAGAGGCCCTGGGTAAGTTTTGTATTGAGTCCTGTGCCAATATGCTGGAGCCCTTTAAGCTAGGAGGTGACATATTCTGACTGATCTCTTATCTGCTGTGAAGCTTAGACACTTAGCATCTCTGAATTCTACTCTCATCTGTAGAGACAACAACACAAACAATAACAATAGAGGATCAAAATCCTTTCATATTCTGTTACCAGAGGGACTGACAGGCAGTAAGGCTGGGTGAAATGGTGGCTGTGGCCCTCACCATGTCATCATTATGGGCAGGGATTCTTCACCCAAAGGGGACTCTCACTCCCCACTATGGGTTTTCTGCTTGAACACTGTGTATTTCAGAATCCAAGTGCCCTGCACTGACACCCAAAAACAAACAGTCCTGGTAAGGGTGGCACCTGCAAGCTGCTAGCTTTCTCCCAGGACCCAGCATAAGTCAGCTCCCATGACCTCTCAGGCCTGGTTTTCCAGGTGATGAGGTAAAGTCTAGTGGAATAGTGCTTTCCAGATGGAAGGCCAGGCCATGGACTCCATCCCATCAACTCTGGCTACATTTTAACACTAGCCCCCTGACTTACTAACTGGCACCTGGAGCTGGGGGTTGGATTCTGACTCACTGCTGGCTTGGTGTGAGCTCCCCAACTGTTCCAGCAGTCTTGTCTGTGGCTTTGGCCTTCCTCACCGCTTCCTTCTTGTCCTCCAGGGCCCTCATCTTTGTGTCCCATGGAGCTGGGGAACACTGTGGCCGTTATGATGAGCTGGCTCAGATGTTGAAGGGGCTGGACATGCTGGTATTTGCCCATGACCATGGTGAGTACCTCCAGTTGCCACACAGGCTGGCAGAAAGGCCTGTCCTATCCCCTTTCTTCCTGTCCAATTCTGTTCTCTGGGTTAAAAATCTACATGTGGTTATATAAAGTATAGAACAGTGTGTCTGACCAGCAGTCACTATCAAATCAGAGTTTGCAGACAGACTTACTGGAAGCTTGGATGAGAAACCAAAGCTGGGCCTGTTTATCCAGAGCCTACCTGGGCCAAGGAGTCCTAGAGTACATTTATAAAGTGCTCGCTCTCACTCAAAGTGGACACAGTTTTCTCCCAGAGGACTTCAGGTAGATGCAGTAAGTCAGACTAAGTTCAATTTTAATCTCAGATGAACCAGCAGAGGTTTATAAAGTGTCTTGAATATATTTACACATACATGTATGTACATAAACACATACATGTATGTACATAAACACATACATGTATGTACATAAACACATGCATGTGCACAGCTCCACATACACAGCACTGTTACAGATGGAGGAACAATTTATTTTAGCTCATGGTTTCAGACGTTTTGGCCCGTCATGGTTGAACAGAACAGAGCAAGCCTGCACCAAGGGCCTTCATCCTCCCTTTCTGTTCTATCAGGCTCCCAGACTAGGGGATGGCACCGCCCACATTCCAGGGGTGTCTTCTCCACGTACTTCATCCTCTACTGAAGTGGCCTTAAACACACCCAGGGTTGTACTGTAATATACTCTCAGACACGTCTAAAGCCTGTTGAGTTGGCAACGAAGATTAACAACCACAAATGGGTGTGCACACATAAATACGTCTGCACAACGCACACCTATGTGTGTGTGAGTGTTGATGTGCAAGCACTTCTGGGTACACACACACATGCATTTACATTCACATATGCACACACGTGTGTCTATAGGTTATGTACAAACACACATAACAGGTATGCACACATAACACCAGGCTAATTTTTCTTTTTTTCATGTAACAAAAACTTCACCAATGGTTCTGGGCTTATTTCACAAGTCAGTATGCAAATTCCAGTTCTTCTTGTCCTAGGATTTGAAATCCCGGAGCCTCAAATACACTGGGCAAACACTCTATGACTGTTCTACACTCCCAACCTAGTATGTAGCCCTTGAGTTATTTTTGTGGTGTTTTTGTGACTGAAATGTCTCCAGATTAGGTTCTCTGTCTAAGTCTCTGAAGCTAAGTTCCCAGTCACAGTGTGGTCTTTCTGCACAGCCTACTGTGGCTCTCTGCCATTCTACCCAGATCCCAAAATGCCACTTTGTGTATCTGATATGAGGGTAGATAATTAAGTGATGCTGTCAGAAGGAGGGATGGGGGAGCCGTGGCAGTGGCTTGAGTCTCCTAGGAGCAAGAGCTGAAGCCACACCAGAGACAAGCTCATGTGAGACAGATAGCCTGCTGGGTGATTTTTGTCCACAAAGATCTGAGAATTGGATTTGCCAGGAGCCCCCTTTAAGCTAGATGTATGCACGTGTCTCGGTAATTGAGATTATTAACTAAATTCTTCCCTATTACAGCTGTGATGTCTCTGCTGCTCTGCAGTCAGCCCTGGTTATATTTGTGAGACTTGTTTGGCGGATAATATTCCAGGGTTATCTCCGAGGCTTTTGCTGTGGGGACTCTGTCATTATTAAGCCCAACACTCCTCACACTAGAGAACCCTGAAATGGGAATGCTTTGTCCTGCTGCATTTGTCTCCATTATCAGTTGTAGTTGTCGTTTTGTGCTGGTCACCCCTTGAATTGTTGCAATGAGCACCCTGAATCTCAGGCACCTGTCTTACAGCTCAGTGTTAGCCAGCTTATCAGATAAACTGACAAGCCAGATGAAGCCAATGGGAGGCTTTGTTTATATTGCCTGGCTAAGGTGCTTAGAAAAAAAAAAACATTTTTAAAGCTAGCTTGCTTGCTCTTCTTTCTTTCTTTCTTTCTTTCTTTCTTTCTTTCTTTCTTTCTTTCCTTCCTTCCTTCCTTCCTTCCTTCCCTCCCTCCCCCTTTCTTTCTTTCTTTCTTTCTTTCTTTCTTTCTTTCTTTCTTTCTT